TCAGGAAACTCAAAACTCTATTGCAAGCTGGCATAACAGCTTGAAAGAAACTAAGGATAGATTATCTGAACTGGAGGACAGATTTGTAAGGTGGGAGCATGAAAGGGAAAACTTAAAAATAACAAAGAAACAAACAGCAATAATACAAAGGCTAGAAGATGGTAAGAGGATCTATAACTTAAGAATTAAGAATATAAAAGAAGAAGTAGGGACACAAACAAATGAACTACAAAAGCGATTCACAGAAATAATCCAGGAGAATTTCCCTAATTTAGCAAAAGGTAAAGATACTCAGATGTATGAGGCATACAGGACCCCAGCCACCTACAACCCAAACAGAGCTACACCCAGGCATATAATAATCAAAATTCCAGAAATACAATGTAAGAACAGAATATTAAAAAAGCCATCAGAGACAAGAAACAGGTCACTTACAAGGGAACACCCATCAGAATTACAGCAGACTTCTTGGCACAAACCATCAAATCACGAAGAGCGTGGGGGGAAATAATTCAAGCTTTGAAAGATAATAACCTCCAGCCAAGATTGATATATCCTGCACAACTGTCCCTAGAAATTGATGGAAAAACAAGGTGCTTCCAGGATAAAGAGGAACTAGGGGAATTTGCAACCACCAGTTCAACTCTACAGAGAATTCTGCAGGATATTCTAAAAAAGAAAAATATCAAGATTCCAGAAACAGTGGCAGAGAGGCCACAATGAATGGAGGAGAAAGAGAAATGAAGAAAAAGAGTAAAGAAGGAGGCGTTACAATCCTGCATTTCAAATTATACTACAAAGCTATAGTAATAAAAACATCATGGTACTGGCTCAAAAATTAACATGTTGACCAACAGAATAAAATTGAAGGTACAGAAAGAAACACACTGTACTTCAACTGCACACAAAATAATACCAAAAAAAAAAATATAGGATATATCAAATTAAAAAGCTTCTATGCAGAACAAGAAACATCCAAGAAAGTGAAGAGAAACCTACAGAATGGGAAAACTTTTTTTTTTTGCCAGCTACTCCTCAGAAAGAGGACTAATATCTAGAATTTGCAAAAAATTCAAAAAAATAGATGCCAAAACCCAAAAGAGCAAATAAAAAAATGGGCAACTGAAATGAATAGACACTTCCCCCCAAAAATAAGTATAAATGGCAAATTAGTACCTGAAAAGAGTTTCAGTATCTTTGGCCATTAGAGAAATATAAACCAAAACATCACTGAGATTCCATCTAACTGAAGTAAGAATGACTATCATCAAGAACCAACAAATGCTGGGAAGGTTATGGAGAAGAAAGAACCCTTCTGGATATTTTTCTAAAAGAGTTAAAGTCATCATATCACAGCGATAAGCACATATTCATGTTTATAGCCACACAATTCACAATAGCTAAATTATGGAAGTAGAAAACAGATGAATGGATAAAAAAAAAGTATTATGTAATATTCAGTCATAAAAAAGAATCTGAGTCATCTGCAGGAAAATGGATAGCTCTTAAGACCATAATGCTAAGTAAAATAGATACAAAATAAATATCACATGGTTTCTCTTATTTGAGAAACCAAACTGTAAGTAATTTAAAGAGTAACTTAAAAGAGAGATGGTAGGAAATTGGGAGGTAGACTTTGTGGAGATGAAAAGATATCCTGGGAGAAGGGTAGAGGGCAGGGAAGGGGGAAAAGAGAATTAAAAATGATCCAGATACAATATGCATATGTAAAAGTTCCACAAGATTAATCTAATTATTATGTATCATATATATATATACACATGTATATATACATATATACATGTGTGTATATATATGTGTGTGTATATATAGACAATAAAATGAAAAAGTAAAAAGAAACCGACCTGTGCAGGTTGGGATTGTTCCACAACAAAATATTTTTACTGTCTAGTAGTACTATGGTTAGATTTTGGTTTCTGGTAAGTTTAAGAATTCAGTTTTATATTTATCTAAATTGTATCCATGTATAAGTGATAATTCTAAAAATAAGCAAAAGAATAAATACAATTCTTTTCTGACCATTTTATTAAGTAAAACAGGAGTGCTGATGGCTGACATAAATATATAGTCAAATGAGAACACGGAGTTACATATTCTTTTCATTACTCATTTATTACCAGCTCATCCTTATCTATTAACCAACAGCAATTAAAATATAAGATATCAAACAGCATGCAGTCACTAGTTTCTAAATAAGAATGTGTATTAGAGTCATGTGAGAGAGAATTTTTTAAAAATCTCTACTCAAAAACAAACCTACTAAGGCAGAATATCACTTTTTGGGGCCCAGGATAACAATTTGGAAAAGATTTCTTTGTAATTCTGGTACCTCTGGTTAAGAATCACTGTTAAAAGTTTAAGAAAAAAAGTTAAAACTCTGGTCATTTTCTAATCTATCATAAGTAATTTAATTATTATACTGTTGGTGCATATGGTTTGGAATCAAACACACTTGAGTTTAAATTCCATTTGTGCCACTGCTAGCTGTGTAAATCTGGGAGATGTCTGTGTATCCAAATTTCTTAATTTGCAAAATGGACATAACAACAGCATTCCACGTAAAACACTGATGGAAAATTTCAATACTCAAAAAAATACTTGGAAAAGTTTCTGATTCACCTCAAGCATATGACAAATTGAACTATTTGTTATACATTTTAAAAATTAAAATGTATAGGGGATGGTACCATAAAATAAACTCAAGACCTTGTTGCTTGACAGGCAGGTGCTGTACCTTTAAGCTATATTCCCAGCCCTACATTTTTAAAATTAATAAGAATGTATCAAGTATGTTAAAATTTAAGGACCTCATCTAAGGTACACAATCTCTTTAAAAATTGTGAGGGAGGTGATGGGGCCAGTTTCCATTAGTGGTCTTATACTAACCAGCAGAACAGATGCCCTTTCCCACAGTCCACAGCAGGAGCGCTCAGCAGCGGGAAACTGAGGCTATCGGATCCAGATGCACTTGACCCTTGTTTTGTTAGTCTGACTGCTCTTTCACAGCCTGCAGTAGGACACCATTTAATGGCAGGATTATTTTCAACAAAGGCCTGTGTGAATAGTAATAACAACAACAACAAAAGAAACTATTTAACTGTAAATTATAATACAGAGTGCACTTCCCCATAATTAAACGCAAAGCAAAACAAAACAAAACAAAAAGTCTCAAATATTACTTAAAATACTATTCTAAAAATTTGGAAGTGGGGAATTATTTTAGCAATTAAATATTAAATAATTCTTTAAACTATATATTCTTTAAAAATCACGTAAGTAATGATAATATAAAAAATATAATTTTTCTTACATAGGAAATGTGCAACTTAAACATGGTTTTTCATACAACGTGCTACTTTTCTGATAAAATATGATTATAAGTAGAATATTTACTATCAGAATCTTGTATGTAATTATTAGTTGTATTAGGATAGCAAATTTCTAAATAGCATCTTAATACGTAAAAATTAATGTGATGATGTTTTCTATATCAAAGCAGGACTTCTTTTTTAAACATATATAGGACAGTTCAGAATAAAAAAAATACATAAAGCAATTACACAAAAGATAGTAACTTACATATGCTTTTAAAAAACAATGAAAATAAAGTACAAAAAATGAAATACATCATAACTTATTATGTAACACTATTGCTTAGAATAAAACAGCATTTCCAATTTAAATTTTTAATTTCTGTATGTTTATTTTTGGAGTATAAAATATTTTGTGTTGAAATTTTTTTTTGAGACAGGGTCTTATGATGTAGTTCAGGTTGGCCCTAAACTAACTACACTGCCCAAATTGGCCTAAAATTCATGGCTACCCTACTGTCTCAGCCTCCTGAATGGTGGGATCACAGTCATGCACCATGAGGCCTGGCTTAACATATAAAATATTTGGGAAACCTTTAAGTACTGTATAGTTTGAACATTATTGTGGTCAATTAGCTATAAAATGCAACAGGTAAATTAGTACAAAGTTTTGAGCAGTAACTACTTTTTGGAAGAAACTACAATACAGCCTTTTATTTCTGTTTTATGATAAAATAATGCCTTAGTTTAAGACTTTAATGTCACCATTCCTTAATGCATTTTTCCTGAGAAACAAATCATCACAAACTATTTGTGATGGTTTATCTTTTTTCTTTCTCATTCAGACAGGGTTTTGTTACATAGTTCAGCCTGGCAGTGAATTCAGTGTAGCCCAGACTGGCTTTGAACTCAAGGTAATCCTCCTGTCTCAGCCTTCCAAGTGCTGGGATTATAGATATGCCCCAATACTCCTGGCTTGTGATTATTAATGACTGTCAACTTTCTGGTTTGAGAGATACATAGTTCTGGGTATGCTAGGTGAGTGTCAGTGGTGTGACCTTTGGGACAAAATCTAATCTCTGGTTTTCTTTCCTGACTGCTCCCTCTTGGTCACTATGAAGCGAGCAGCCTTTCTCCATTATACTCTTCCACCATACCGTTCTTACTTTGGAGTCATTCCACCAAGGACTGAGGCCTCTGCAGCTATGAGCTCAGAAAACCTCATTTAAATTGCAAGTATTAGGTACTTTCCCAAGCCATGGTGATACTATTATACCATCATTTTTATGTTTAAAAAAAAAATTTAAGTTGCAAATATTAGGTACTTTCCCCAAGCAATGATGACACTATTACACCATCATTTTATATTTTCAAAAATAAAAACAACATCTGTTATACAGGTTTAGTAAAATTAAAATTATGGCTACTTAGATAGGTTTTGGATGCATACCTTAATATCAAATTGTAGGTATCGTTTGTCCATCTCCTTAGAAACCACACTTTCTATGATATCCACAGGCACAAGTTGAAAGCACTCATATGCAGGGCAAAAAATGTTGTGAGCTTCACCTTCTTGAATTTTTAGGTTTAAAAATCTATTGAAATTATCAATTGATAGAAAAAAGATGTAAGTTATTTGTACATCCTAAGAATTTTTAAAAATCTCAATTTTTCCATTAGAGTACAATTAAAAGAATATCAACAAGCACTGGAGTGGTAGAGTTGTGTGCTTAGCATGCACCAGGCCTTGGGTTTAATCCCTAACATGTGTATACGCACGCACACACACAGGTACACACACAACACAGTCAGTAAATTACGGGATATTAATGATAATAGTTTCTGCTCAGCCATTCATTTTCTGTGTTTTTTATCTGCATCCCTCTTCTTTCTTTTTTTTTGATGGGGGTGATCGGCATCAAACTCATGACCTTGTGTTTACCAGACAGGCACTTGTGCCACTGAGCTAAATTCCTGTCCCCCATTCATTTTCTATGTATGTATGTATTTATTTATGTATATATACTTATGAATATATATACATATATTAGTCTATTTTATATTTTTGTTTGCTTCATCTTTAAAGTTTGAAACAATGCTATTTTAACATTAAATACTCCAAAATGAGTGGCACAGAAGGTTGTATTCAACTTGTAATACTCTATCCATTTAAATAAATAAGGGCTATAGTACAAAATTTTTCTTTATATTTCATTTTGTTGAATATTATAATGAGCTGTATGACATATTCTAGGTAGACCATTGAGGTAGTAAAGAAAAGACATAAAGTGGCAGGAATCTAACCTAAAGCAAAGTAACTCATTAAGAACAAGATTTTCTAACTCGTTTTGGGGGCCTATGCCAGTAATCCTAGTTTCCTGGGAAGCTGAGGCACGAAGACTGAAAATTCAAGGCCAGCCTGGGTGACTTAGAGACTCAGCAAAATCCTGTCCTATGAGGGGGCGCGGGAGAGTTGGGGATGCAGCTCAGTGTGAAAGCCAAAGGCTTAGTTTGGCAAAACAAACGACAAATGGAACCCCAAGAAACAAATACCACACACACAGAATTTTGAGTTAGAAAATTTTAGATCTTAAGCTTAACAACCTTATTATTAAACTATTCTGAGCCTTCCTTTCACCAAATGTAAAATCAGATAATCATACCCATTGCTCAAGGCGTACGAGAATCATACACAGATTATACACATAAAAAATCTGCATCGTGCCTGACTTTGAATAAAAGTTTATAAATCTTAGCAAGGTTTATTATTTTTATTATTTAATTCTGCCTGTGGAAAAGCAAGAAACAAGCTTTTGAAGTCTGCATTATATTGGATTTCACTTAAATGTAGAGAAAATAAACAGAGAATAGGTGAACTGAATCACAACTCTAGCTATCACAATCAACAATTGGATTATTTCGCTGATTACAATTTCCTTTTCTCTGGTTCTCTCAGGTTCTTTCCTCCATTCACTTTGAAGAAAAACAGAAGCAGCCTGTGACCACACTGGACCTGATCCCTCCCCTCCATCTCCTGCAGCAGCACCTTCACTTGGCACTTCATAGGAAACAGTTCCCATCTGGGAGCCTCTCAAAGTTCTCCCTACCACATCCCAAACCTGGCAACATCTTCAACTGCCTTTGGTTTCTTTTTCACCAATTTTAGCAAAAAGAGCGTCTTCTTTCAGCTCTCCAGCTGGGACCTATACTATCCGTCAATCTTCCCTTGCTTTCTCCCTTGCTAATGGCTCTTACTTTGGCACAACAAAAAAACTCAAGTTTTCCCAACTTGAAAACCTTTCTAAACCAAACAATTGATTCTGCTTTTCCTTTTATATAAAAGTCACTTGACGCAACAGCTGTAAATCTGTTGCCCCTTCAATCTGCAGCACTGTCTTTTGTCACCTCTTCAGTGAACAGTTGGCTCCCAAGGGGTCATGATGACTATTAGGCCACTTCACTCAAGAAGTCTCAGTCTTTACCTTTTGTAACTTCTCTGGAATGAGAGATACAGCTCAATGGTTTTAAACTCTCTCTTCCCCTTAGCGTTAGGACTTACTTTATATTTTGTATTCTTTTTACCTGTGATAGTTCCTTGTGCATTTTTACATCACTGCCTTTTTGCTCCTAATCTCTTATTTTTTCCCCCAGATTTTTACCACAAAATTCTCCTCTTTCTATTCTATACGATCTCTCTCAGTGATCTAAACATACCTGACATCCTAACTATAGCGATGCCTTGGTACTTGTTATAGCTTGTATGTAGATTTCCCCCCAAAGCCTCATGCAGTCATAGGTGGGGCTTTTCAGGGGTGGCTGGATCTAGGGCATGTGATGCTGGGATCAAGGATGTCATGCTAGGATTAAGGGTGTGAGTGCTACCTGCTCTAAGGGTAAGTAGCCTGGATAAATATAAGGGACAGAAAGGGTCACTGCTTGTTACTCACTGTTGCTTGCTACCTTCTGCCTGCTGTGAACTGTTTCTCCTCTGTGAAACCCCTCTGCCATGCCACAGTGCCTTGGAGCCAGCCAAGAATGAACTGAATGAAGCAAATAAACTGTGGGCCCAATAAACCGTTCCTCCTTTTAACTCTGGGTGTAGTTTGTCTGGGCAATGAGAAAAGTAAGCATACTCAACTGCTTTAAAACTCATCAAATTTTGCAAGCACTTTGTTCCAGTCCTCAATGTTTGTGTGATACTCATTTGGTGATCTAGAACTTCTGGGTGTTGATTGCCTCAGGACTCACTCCCCTGATCTACACAAAACAATTTGTTTGGTACTTGTTGTGCCACCTAGAAGGAACTAATGATGAGCACTAAGGTAACTCTTCAGTTAAAAACCACACTGTCTCCACAAAACTCTGAAATATCCAACAGAAGGGAGTTCAAAATGACTTGCGTTACTCTGGATGTTAGAACACACGAAGCACTCAGGAGATTCTGGTAGAATAGCAGCTCTCAAAGTACGGCCTGTGGAGTTTTGGGGGTACCTGCCACCTTTTGGGAGATTAATGAGGTCAAAACAATTTTCATAGTGCCTCTAACACTTTTGCCTATTTTGGTTAAAACTACTGGTGCCTTAGTACAAATCATAGCAATGGCACAAAAATACAAATACAAAATGATCTTTGTATTTTTCACTAGGTCCCACTTACAGTTAAAAATAAGCGGCTTCACTTAAGGATTTTATTTTTAATAGTAAAAATTATTACTCAGAATAATAAGAATTATTACTTTTATTAAAATCTAAACCTCTTAGTACACATCTTTTGGGTATTCTGTTTAAAAAGCAGGGCAGGGGGAGGTGTTATGCAGAATAAATGGCTGATGTGTGCCCAAAGATGAGGCTCTCTCAAAGAAAATTACTTGTTGCCACAGTATATAATAGCATGAAAAAGCTCCTTGGAGCTTTTTAAGATTGTAAAGGGGTCTTATGACTAAAAGCTAGAGACTAGCTACTTGAAGACTTTCCTTTTTTATAACATAAGAATTTGTCCCTTTTAGCTATGAATGGGTTTCCTGGAAAGCTGGATATAGTTTAGTATTTCTAGACCCTGTCAACATGCAGAATTTGCTTAAATACACTGTTACTCTGAAAGTAAGACCTAGTTGAAAAATAATCAGCACTGAAAACTAGAGGTCAAAACTGCCAGTCCCACTCAGCCTATTTTTGCCTTACCTGCCTCACTGTTCTCTTGCTCAGTGGCTTCTCTGTAGGGCAGGTAAGGCAAAGATAGCCTGATTGGGGTTGGCATTTTGATCTGTAGTCTGGTTATTTTCCAGGAAGGTCTCATTTGTAGAGAAACACAGTGGTACTAAATGATGTTTAAATTTTATGTATTTTCAATACAAAAGATCAGACTTTATTCTAGGGAGTAAAATGACTGAACTGAAAAGGCCTCATTGAAGACAGGATTAGTTCCCTGTGAGCTATGTTAGTCACACTCATAATACAATTTTCTGCTAAATTTATAAGTAGAAGATAGAACTGACGAATGTCAATGAAAGAAGTAAGCCTGGGACAAATCTGACCTGTATTTTAATCTTGTAGACAAACCTCACAGATGATATCATAGATAGGGTCTCTGCTTATTACAATGTTTAGGACGATGACTAAAATATTCACAGAGTGAGTATTCTGTGCCCAGTAAATATTCCTATGAAGTATTAACTACTATTACCATTTTAAAAATTAGGAAACTGAAAGTCACATAGATTACTACTTGCCTAAATCCACATAATCCAGAATTCTACTGTGTCCAGAACCTGAGTTCTTATTCTTAATATTAGAAGAATAGTCTAGTCTGGGTAGAAAATACTTTTATTTAAGCCCTTAGCATAAATGCTTCAAAGCATCTTACTAGACTGCCAAAACAGAAGAGTTGGGAAGTGAAAGAGGTTTTCAAACTATCTGAAGGCCTTTAAAAATTCATCCTCACTTTTAGGCAGGAGTTTCTTTATATATGACTGTGTGATGACTATAATGATTTTATACAATATGAATTGCTCAATATGGAACCTGTTTTACAGTTGTTTGAATTGACAAGAACTGGCAGAGGAAAGGTAGAGAATCCTAGGTAGGCCATTAAGATATCAAGAAAAGGGGGCTGGGGATTTAGCTCAGTGGCATAAGCACCTGCCTTGTAAGCAGGCAGTTGTGAGTTCGATCCCCGGTACCGATAAAAAGGAAAAAGACCAAAAAAAAAAAAAAAAAAAAAAAAAAAAAGATATCAAGGAAAAATAATTAGATTCCTCAAATTTAAATCTTACCACACAGGGGCTGGGGATTTAGCTCAGCGGCATAAGCGCCTGCCTTGCAAGCAGGCAGTCGTGAGTTCGATCCCCGGTACTGATAAATAGGAAAAAGACAAAAAAGACAAAAAAAAAAAAAATCTTGCCACATATATCTCATAGCAAAATGGTGATGGGTGGGGAAGATGGTTCCTATGATCTGAGTCAAGTGAGGAAGGTCAAGGAAGTTAAAAAAAGTTAAGTAATTCCAGGATGAGTTCAGTTTTCACACACAAACTAAGGGCAATGTCCACAAACTAAGGTCAACTTCTGCAAATTTGGGAAAACCCAAGTAACAATTTCTAATACAATAAAGTCAATCATTTTAAGCTAAATAAAGTACTGTACATTGGGAAATTTTTCTGCTTCTACAACTGGGCCAAGGATTGCTTTCAATTATAATCTTTGATCTTTACCAGTTTACTTGCATCATTTCTACTGATCTGATCCCACCTAACAGACTCAGAGTAAAGTTCAGTCTATGATATTCCAGAAAAAAAAAAGACCAAGTTGCCTACAGATTTGGGGGTCAGGGAATGAGTGTGGGAGGATAACAGTAAAGAATTCAAGCAGAAATAAGACTTGAGGGTGATGAATATTTATTGTCTTGATTATGGTGATGGTTTCACATGTGCACAAATGTTAAAGTTATCAAATCATTTATTTTAAATGTATAGTCTGATGTATGTCAACTGTAACCCTAACAATGTTCTTAAAAAACAAAAACAAGAAAATCTGCTCTGGTTCTTTCACATTCTTATCCAATGTTTCTCAGCTACCTATGCTTGGTAACCACGAAAATATAATCGGAAACTGCTTTGTAAAAGACTTCCTTAAACACTAATGACATGCTTTGATTAAATCATCAAACAACAGCTTTGTGTGTCTATAAAAATAATAAGATTTCAGACTGATTATACTTAATCTTTATGTGTTTTATAAAGTTATCTCAAAAGTACCACGTTAATGAGAAACTACAATTCTTGGCAAGATAGTAAGAAAGAAAATAAGAGATAAACATGAAAAGGAAATAAAATTTGCATTTGGAACACATATCTAACCATGCCTACTAGAAACATTTAACTTTGTACTGACTAAAAATTTTAAATATCCATTTTTACAGTTTTTCATGGATATTTGCTTATCACACAAAATTCAGATAAAATACAAAAACATGCTTAAAATTCATGGAACAAAAGACAGCAAGTGATTCTTGAAATTTAGGTGCAGGATTAAAATTTACATTAGATGTTACATAAATTAAAATAACAAGAAAAATTATATATACCTGCTGTGTTCCATCATGTACCTTATATTAAGCTAAACTGCATTAAATAAAATAGCTGGGAAGAAGAAAAAATATTTATCTAGTAAAGTGCAGTACATTTCACTGCTAACTCTTAAATCAGTATAAATTATCCACATCATTAAATATTGAAAGCAAACAACTTTACTACCAAATCAGAGATCTATCATGCAGTAAGAGAGACTAAGCTGCTGATATACTCACGACTCCCAACATCCTCTACAAAAGTCATGTCCACAGGGCATGTCCACTGGATCCTCAAATACAGAAATACTGCACATACAAATGTCACACTGGGAACAAAGAAGAATAACTTAAAACAGAGTCATACTTTTAAGACAACAAGACATTCATTTTGTTCACTAGTTTAATAGCAAAAGTATTAGTAATTACAAATTTTAAAAGTATTTCAAAATTATAAGGGCAATTATTGTCCTTTAAGTGACTACCTAATTATAAACTCTTGTGGGTTATTTTGTTTTGAAATTCTGTATCACTGTGTTTATTCTTCTTTTTTTAAAAACTATTGTGGGATTTAAATGTTTTAGTGCAAAACTCCTGGATTCCAAATTTATATATTAATCAGTATATTTGCATTAGGGAAGTACAAAAAACAAATCTATACAATCTATTCAAGTCAAGATCAAATTCTGTGCTGCATTATGGAAAAAAATATCTCCATGCTGCAAAATAATCATTTCAGCATCATGTCCTTGACCCTACACTTATCCTGGGAAATCTATAAAATCAGGATAACTGTGTTTTTAACATAGTAACTGAGTACATTAACAGTGGAAATTTCCCAGAAAGAAACTGCTATAGAATGTATCTCTCAAGAATGCCTTTCTAGAAGCAAACTCAAGTCATACTTGTGAGTTGGTGAGATAGGACTGCTTTTCAAAATGGCCTAAAACAAGGACTACTTTTATATTTATTACAGCTTTTGAGTGTCTGAACCATTTTAAGAAACAATAAAATTTTCTACAAGTATACCAATGGCATGCCAGTTTAAAATCCACATTTCCCTAAAGAGGAAATATATTATGGAAAGGCATCTGGAAAACAAACTATAGAAACTTTATTGAACAAATATATGATCACCATTATATTGTACATCTTTTAAGAAACTATTTAAAAGTTTTTATATTTTCAGCTTAAAAGTGTATATCACAAATTTAATTTTTAATAATTTAATGTTTTTAAACATACTGAAGCTTTTAAGTAAAAATATAGTAAATCGATGGTTTTCCCAAACCATCATCTTGAAATGACAAAAGAGAATTTCTTATGTTTTAATTTAGTTCAAAGATTACAAAAATAGTCTGTGATAATAAGGGCCTATCAGAATAGGAAAGTAAGTGAATCTTTAGAGGAGGATAAAGGATTCAACTATAAGAACACAAGCAGGCATTCCATGTAATATTAAACATTTTAAAATTTAAAAGACTAAAAATGAAGCTATGTGGAATACATAAAATACTAAACCATACCAAATTAGTATCTAACTCCCCAGGAGATAAACTGATTTCATCTGGAGAGGTGACAGAAGAGCGTGTAGTCCTTGGAGTTCTTGGAGAAGGGAGTGTGTCCCAGGCATTATATCCACTTGGTGGTGGAGTTGGCATTTGAACACCTGATCGTTGGCAACAGTTCTCTGGGTTGGACATCCAAGCTTCAAGTAATTTCTCCCTGTCCCAGTCTTTAAGAAAAATGGAATCGATATTTCTCAAAAATTAGAAACTATGATGTTTTCAAAGCTACATAATAACAAAAGACATACTGATAAATTAAAAAGATATATCGAGGAGAAATGTATGGTATTTATATAGAATTAGTATTGTAGCCAGGCATGGTAGTACATGCCTATGATACTAGCATTGGGGAGACAGAAACAGGAGGATTGTCCTAAGTTTCAGGCCAGCATGGGGTACAGAGAATGAGTTCAAGGTCAGACTGAACTATATAGTTAAATCTTGCCTCAAAAAAACCCAAAAAGTATTAACTGCAAATGAATATATTTTACTACAGAATTTAAACTGTTTTTTATAATATGCAGTGGCTTACAACTGTGTCAGTATCTAACAATATCTCAAAGTTCCCAGGAATTCCTAATAATCAAATAAGTGATTCATAATACTTTTAGAATTTACTAAAGTATTTGATTGTAAGCTTCATTCAGCCTCTTAACTCTTTCAGTATGTAATTTTGCAACTGGCCTCCAAGGTGTCAAGTTGTGAGAGCATTATTATAGTCACTGTAAACATGTCAAAATGTCAGTCTCAAGTCCCAAAATTCATTTGAAAAACAGCTTGAAACTAGAAAGAGTGCCATAAGGGTTTTGGGTTATAAATATTTATAGTGAATCAGGCATTGATTCTATACTAAGTGAGCCAAAATCTGGCATAACTAAGAAAAGACTGTCTTCCCACTTTGAACGCTTATAAATTAGCCGTGTGTAATATGTTATTATAATTCCTAGAGGCATAAAAATGCAACCTGTTAAAGACAATTAATTAATATACCCAATTCTGTGCTTGCTAAGTGTTTTACACATATTATTTAATGTGTTCATTCCAATAATCATCTCACTTATTATTTAAGTACAGAAATTAAGGCTTAAGGAAGTAATTTGACTTAGATAAGGACTTGAGACTTTTTCTATGACCCCAAAGTTGTTTTCTTTTCATTATTGCATAGTATGTTTTGAGTATGTGAAAAGGATAAATTAAAATTCTTCACCACAGGTCATTCTATAACATTTTATAGCTCAAATACAAATAGCTAAGAAACTTGCTACAAGATTTTTTATATCATATTGTAGCACTCTACTTAACAGGAGAAAGTATAACCTGTAATAAAGATTAAGGAAGTGTATTTCCAGTTCAGGAAACCCAAGTACTAAAAAGGCACAGAAGTGTAACTGAAGACTTACTCAGGTCTCTGAAGTTGCTGTACAGAATGCTGTGGTTTGGGGAGATGGAAAGTACAATACACTGAGAAGATCGGGTTAGATTACAAAGGGGAAGAAAAATATAACTGAATAACACTGCACACTAGAGGGTTTCAGATACTGATAGGTCATTATCTTGACTAAGACCATGGGCTATATGCAGTGTTTCACATCCTCCTAGTCCTGTAGCTTGTCTTTTAAGTTTTACATACTTCAAATATGCACCAGACACCTAAATTTTCTATCTGTATGGGAAGTTTACATGTACATACAAAACAGCCATTTACATTCCTCAGAAACGTAAGGTGTTAACTTTTGCTTCTAAAATACATTATGCTGGGCCTGGAGGTTTAGCTCAGCGGCATAAGCGCCTGCCTTGGAAGCAGGCAGTTGTGAGTTCGATCCCCGGTACCGATAAAAACGAAAAAGACAAAAAAAAAAAAAAAAATACATTATGCTAAAATTTAGCAAACCTACTGTTTTTATCAGTTGAAATCCATTTTAATATATAAAAACAATTCTTCATTTAAAGATACTTGTGGAAGAATTAAAGATGAGTACTAAAATGTTTTCTCCTATGATTTCTCATAGAAAAAATTTTTTGACCTGAATAATCTTAGATCTTATGGCATTATACATTATGGTGGCTTCTTAATACTTAATCAGTGTATTGATATTTAAAATGTGATACTAATTGATACGAAGATAGATAAAGAAATCCTTTATTGCTTTTTGGCAGCTACTCGGATTTGTGGCTATGTTAAGAAAATTTAATCTGCCAGGTTCCTTTTTATAATATCATCAATTTCATAAAAGCAAATTACTTAACCTCTTTGTGTTTCAGTATCTTTTTGGGGATAATTACTATCTTCCATACTGGTCTCATATGAATATATAGCTATGCTTGAAGTAGTGTTTGGCAGCTGGAAATACCAATACAGCACTATGTTGGTACTAATTAATTGGTTCCACGTGGTGTGCTGAGTAACAAATATGAGCGCTAAACTGTTTTGGCTGGAAAGGCCATGGAGTCACGAGGTAAAAGACACTGAAAAGTTCTAACTTGCTTGCTAGGACCACAAACCATGAGTACCTAGAAAAACTTCCTTGTCAAGTACCAAATTTAAAGAGTTTCAAAGCTGGTGATTACCAATATATGACTGTAAATGTAGGTTAGGATCAGCTGTTAGTATTGTCTGAGGAGTTATCAAGTGACAAGAGACAGAAATGAGGGTTTTACCTAGGAAATTATGCTGAGGAAACACTAATTTATTTTAGGAACTTAAAAAGTATAATAAATATATTTTGCTTAGAAGTATACAATTTACCTATATTAACCTTATATTTCTTAAGATAAGGCTTTCATTAATTGGTTTAAAAGATAATGTAATAAAAATGAGATACAATAGTGAACTAGAACAAAATTTAAATCACTGGTAAACAAAACTTATACCACAACGAGGTATAATTTAAGTCCAAGTTATTCTACTGAAGATTAAATTTTTAGTAAATTTTTGTAAATTTTAAATTTTTAGTAAAATGACAATGAACTATCACTGCTTTCTTTTTCTTTTTCAGGCTGTTTTTGTTTTTGTTTTGAGACAGGGTGTCATTATGTAGTTCAGACTGGCCTTGAGCTAGCTTTTTCCATAGTCGAAGCTGGCCTCAAACTCAGGGCAATCCTCCTGCCTCTACCTCTTGAGTGCATTATCACGTCTTAAACATTTAAAAGAAAAAAGATCCCTAGAGATTTTTAAAAACCTGTTACAAAAACTGGAAACATAAAAGCTCAATTTTATATAAGAACAAGACTTTTATTTGACACTGTCTGAAAGCATTGGTCAGCTAAAAAGCAGAATTATAAAAATAATCATAGAAGGTGGAGGATATTAGAAGAAATAAAAAAAAAGTAGAAATGCTATAATAGTATTAGATAAAAAGTAGCAGGAAAGATACCCAATAGGAAACCTGTTCATTATTAAAAGAGTTATAATTAGAAGAGTCAGAAAGATGTAAAGGTATATGAGCCTAGCACCCAAGCTTTGAAATACTTTAAATAAACTTACAGCATTAATGAGATGTATCAAATCCACATTCACAATAGGAATTTTAGTAACCATCTTTTGACAACTGATGGAGCTAAATAATAAAAACTGATAGACACCAACAATTTAAACACCACAGATGCTATAGAAATCCGGCACAAGGGAAAATCTTAATAGGATGCCTTTTTTTAAATGCACATGT